TGTGCTGTAAGAGTAGTCAGCTCCATGAGCAAAGACGGGAATGGCTCAGAGCAATCCTGAGAAATCTACAGAAAAACACTGCTCAGAGACAGGATAGCAGTCCCAGAGTAAGGAACGGCTTGCAAGAGAACTACCTTCTACCAGCTCCACCTTCCGAAACTCCCAGGGCACAGTAGAGAATAGCAGAGAAAAACCTCACAAGAATAAACAGGTGAGTTAGCTTCAAATAAATCACAAAAAGGGACACATTAATGGCAAAAATAACTAAATTCTGGAGAAAAAAAATGAAAAAGATCAGTGGAAAGAATGGATAGTTCATCTCTTAAAGAGTTCAACTTGAAGCTAGAGGCCTTTCTAAATGATAAAATGTAGCCAAATATAGGTTCTATGTGGGCCTCACTTTCAACGGAAATATGTAATTGGCTGTGCACAGTCAGATCCAATGATCTAAGTGGGTTTTTTTTTGGCCATAGGCTTTAAAAATCAGAGTTCCATTTCTCCAAATAAAAGAAATAATTGCATGACTGAAGAATCAATTGTAAATTAAGTGTGGTTCTGGCAAAGACCTTTTTCAGAAAAGCAGCTCAATAGTAGAAATGATTGTTGCTATTAGTTAATGAAATAAATACTTTGTGCTCTGAAGATTATTTTCAAAATGTCATTTCAGAGACTTTCCAAGATGCAGCCTGGGATCACAGGGGAAGAAAGCATGTGATTTTCAATATTCAACTACCTAAAGCAATTCCAAGTTTGAGATGTATTTCGTTTCTCACAGAGAATGTCAACGAAGACAGAATTCAGTCTTCAAATTTACCAGCCACATCCACAATACAGGATTAATATACGAAAACTGGATATAGAAAGGTGGTCTGACTTCTTTGCCTAAACTGGATTAATGACTTGAGAGCCCTAAACAATTGTTCATTTATTATTCTGTGACATATCTGAGTATAAAAAGTTTCTGTTAGGAAGAAATATCATTTTAATTTCAAGTAATCTTCTGTTTCCTCCCTAAAAGTGACCCTAATTACAGGAGTTATTTGGGTTGGCTTATTATTTTACGGTCCTTCTTTAATAATACTTTACCTGATGAACACAATTATGACATCTTTACAGGCACCGTTAATTCTGCATCATTATTCCAAATAAATCTCACCATACATCCTAGATGCCAGTCTAGAAGATATATTATTACTTAATATTACACTATTTTGTTATTTTGATGGGGGAAGTCTTCTGAAATGTAAAACACTTCTCTTCCAAGTGTTTTGAGGCCTCAGTGCCTCAAAACTTCAAAGACCATCAATTATACCTACATCTGAAAAACCTCTTATATCTACCAAGGAGCTTCAGAAAAGTTGCTCGTATCTTTATAGTGGCATGAACTGCCAATCTGATGAGCCTAACCCAGTTTCAAACCAGTTCTAAAGTTAATCATTGCTCAATAATCTCACAAAATAAAAGCAGAAAATTTTTCATCAACAATATGAGACTGCAGAAGAAGAAAAACTTGGATTTTTCAAGAAGTTTGCCTGTGAGTTTAGGACTCTCCATAGGGAAGATTAGCCACTCCAAATAAGGTTTAGGAATCTTGCCACTTAAGTAAAAAAGATTATGAAAAAGAGAACAAGTTTCCTTTCTTATTATTTTGATTTTGCTCAACTAGCCCAGTTTGCAGGTAGAATAAGATTTGCAGAATCAACAGTAAGTCTGAATAATTCAGACACTAAGTCCAACTTCCCTTACCACCTGTATTTGCACACGGAAATTATTATTAAAGATGAGATCCAAACTTGGCCAGTGACATTTTAAAGATGAATACCTGACCAAACACACCATATGCAAGCCAGGAATATGCTTATGCAAGTTATGAAACAAGCGGTCAGTCTTAATGTATGTAAATAAAACACTGACATCACTACAAAAAAAATCTTATTTTAAAGCGTATGACAATCGGGCACACTTAAAAGTCTTCATCACCTCTAAAGTATTTCTAAACTTTTAAACTAAAAAATAACACTAAAAACCTGTTAAAAAGTGCTATGAGTTAAATCTTGCCGTTCGTACAATATCACACATGAATTATAAATTCAAACTCCCATTTGTCTGGCTTCATTTTCTGCACCTTTGAAGTTTTAAAGCAAAGCTTTAGAGTTACTATAAAAAACAAAAAAAGGCCCAGGCTGAAACATGAATTATTATTCTATCGGTATTACTTTGTATACAACAATTTTTTCAACGTGCATTGTCAACTTAAAATACATCCTTGATATGGGATGCTAGTTTTGGATGTTACTTCTAGAGTCAGCTGAAACATCTGATTCACTTTGCTGCTGCTTAAACCACAAGCTCACTGGAATTGCAAAAGTACATCCTTGTATAGAGAAAGGAGAAAAGGTAACATACCTGACCACAGATGCAGACCATCAAAGCCATACGAATACAAATCATCACCAACACCGTTTCCTCCCCATTCTGCTCCTCCACCTGGATATGGTGAGTAGCCCTCTGTTGACGCCCAGCCCACTCGAAGATGAGTTGACTCTGCAGTCACGAAGGGCTCCAGATGGTCCACCATAAGTTCATAGTACCATTTTCTGTATTGGGCAGAGCCTTCACTAATCCCCAAGAAGATGTTGGGTCGCATGCTTGAATAGAAAGAATATAAGCGGATTTTAAACATTTAATCTCCTTAAAAATACACACAAAAACTGACAAAAGCTATGTTCCAGAAAAGTCATTATCATTTGTAAATTATTTGTTACCAACAATCATATCTTCTCTGACTGAACTCAGTATCAGGTATATTGTGACTTTGTCCAGATTCTACAACCTAATCAATCTAATTTACTTATACATATAGGTTTGTGATTATAGTCTTCCAGTCCCCTGGAAAAGTATGTTAAATAGCAGTCTTAAAGATTTCCTTTGCACATTACTTTTGGTGCAAGTTATCCAAAGCTCATTCTATCACAAAATATTTTCAATGTTTAATTGGTCTCTCTGGCTGTAGAAGAAATAATCTTTATCCTTATCACTACAAGAATATGAGTGTTTTCATTCACATCTTTCTAACATAGAGTAGAAATATATATTAACTACATCTGCTTTTTCCACAGCCATACTTGGGAAAGACAATTTTACCTTACCTGTACAAGATTCAAAGCCCTCTTAGAAGTTCAATCAGTCCTCATACGTTTTAATTTTCTCTCTTGTGCTTTTCATAGAGGTTTTCATTAGTGATTTCAGTTAACCAGTTGTTCAAATTTGTTGCTGATATGGAATTATCGCTATTACTTTCACCAGCTTTCCATGTATCTCATGTATATCGGCATTTATTATGTGGGGGGTGGCAGGGTGTCAGAGGCAGGTATGAAAGATATGAATGAATGTATCAGATATAAAATTGCCAGCTTCATTTCGCCTTTGGATTTTGATTTCTTTTAACCTGAAATGGCCTCCTTATATGATACATTTGCAGAATTTTTACACTTTTCAGCATCTAATAAAATCTTTTAAACTCTGAATTTATATTATTTTTTCTGTATTTTAACTTTCCTTCTCACTCAAAGACTAAGGTTTTTTTTAAACAAACACGAGTTGGAGGCAGAGGAAGAGCCCACAAATCTGCCCTTACAGTCAGATTCTTCTGACTCAGCATTAGTTCAAACTCTCAATAAAGTAACTGAAGATCACCAACATTGGAGGAAGAAGGCAATCTTACAAAAGACTGGTTGATACTTTGACAGAACAGCTAGATCCAGATAGTGGAGTACAAGAATCTTTAGAAGAGATTCTAGAATTTCTGACCTGAAGCAGTTTAGACCTGCTTTAGCTTGCAGCAGCTGGCTACGATTTATCCTTTTTTTTTTTTATCCTAATGAATAAGAATATTGCACATAGCATTTAAAATCCTCATAAGAATATCTTAAAGAAAGTTTTGGAAATTAAACAGCACTTGGCATTCATCTCTGCCCATATTTTTAGTACTTCTCTGGGCTCGTCTATGTGTCTTTTCAGTTTAGCTTAATACACTTTGATATATAATGCAAAACAAGAGCATTCATGCAAGAAATTAGTGCAGAAGAGCTATTTCTGTAGTGACTGTGAATTTCTTTTTTTTTTTTAACCATAAGTTTTACTCCGCTTTGTTCATAGATATATGTCATTTTGTTTTGGTTTTTTTTTACCTGCTCACATGGTTGACAAGACGTGTCTGTAAAAGCAGATCTCTTCCTGGCAGGAGATTGTCACAGATTAGATGTTGATTAGACCGCACAGCTACTCCATGACATACGCAGAGAGAACATAAGACATCCAAAACCTGGGGGAGGGGGAAAAAAGATCTTTTCATCCTAAATACTTTTCATGCTAAAGAGTTAATAATATGAATCACTTCAGGCAACATAATGCAGTATACCTTTTTTTACCGGAATACAGGTAAGGGCTCTCTATGGCTATGAAATTCATCCTACGCAGTAATATTATTTTGCAACAATTCTGAAATTCTCTTAACAATATTAAAACATACTCTCCCTGCTTCCCTTCAGTTTTAATGAGTATCAATGCTGTCATCAATAAAAAGGTAACATCCCCTTTGCTTCTTCAACACTCCTCTGTGTTGTCCACACTCCTCTTAAGAAAAGTTCCATTCCTAACTATCAATACACTATTAAATTATTTGGAATCTAAGCTGTATGTACGCAGAACAACCTGCTTTCTTTGTTCACGAATATTCACTTAAACATAGTTTGTCTCTTCTTTGCGCACCTTATGGTTTCTTCCATGTTTGTCCAGAAGACAGATAATTGATTTAATATGTCCTTCCTTAATAATGTTTAGAGCTTCTGGGCTTTCCACCAACACACAGTGTAAAACCTCTAGAATTCCTGAGGGAGAAGGAAAAAAAAGAAGTTATTCATGGCATACATAAAATCATAATTCCACATGATACTTCCTAACAGACTGCCCTGCAACATGCAATAAGTTTCAAAAATCATCATGTACTATTAAAGAAATTGTTGCTTGGAAGTACTGCTAGACTTCACAAAACAAGTCCGTGTAGTAAAAATCAGAAAATACGGGAGAAAAAAAATGTAAATTACCTTGAAATTGTATTGTTAAATATTTGATGATCAATGTTCACAAACTAAAACAAACCAGGTGAAACACTGGTCCTATTAAAATCTTCAGGAGAAGTCTCAAGGGCTCCAAACAGCTAAGACTGCATACCGTGTATGTATTACGAACATAAAACACCCTTTCCATATTTACAGTTTTCTGCTTCCCCATGATCCATTGATGGAATCATATATCTCTGAACTAGACGGCAGATGTAAATTCCCAGTCTACTGCTCACCATGGATCATTTTCCTTGTGTATACAACAGCTATGTTAAGAGTCAACAGTGATGTTTTTAAAAGAGCAAACAAATAGAAACCAGCATGAAACCAAGATATGTAAGGAAGAACGAACCACTAAATCACCTGTGGCCTCCGAGTTAAATGCAAATACAATCTCAATAAAGCAGCAGTCATTGCCATTAAGAATCATTAGACTTAAAATTGTTCCCTGCAATAGGGCATTAACAAAGGCTCCCATGTGTACTGGATCAGGTCACCACTTGCTTTAGGAGCTTACCAATTTGGAAAAGATAAACATCAAACATGCAGTTCATTACTATTAGTTGCTACTACTGTTGACACAATGAGAAAAGTCAGAGCACTGAGGGAAAATTGAGAAGCTGGGTTAAATCTAAAGGCAGGCAATTCCTGTTCACATTGTACTTCTCATATCATTCTGTCCTCATCCCTATATTCAAGTCACGGCTCCAAATATTCAGCTTAATCCTTGCAAAGCAAGAATCACAGCATGAGCTCTGTATCATGCTCTCTTTTACTGGAACAGGGAAATGTAGCTCTGTAGTCCCCCCTAGGTATGAAAAGAAACATCAGCCAAAAACTCTTCTCTAGGTAAGAGTACTCCGGTCTTTCCTTGATCCTAGCGACATGGAATGAAGCGAGGAAGACACTTCGCTCATCAGCCACTACAGTTGAGTAAGCCTAAGTACAGCTAAGGAAAAAAAAGTTCCAGATTTTGTCTTTAGAGGATCAGCCGAAGAATCTCATCCACAGGATCTCCAAGTAACTCGCTAAGCCAACAAAACAAGTTTTTTTTGTTTTTTTTGTTTTTTTGTAAGGGAAGGAAATTGGGCTGTGCATAATTCACTCACACAGATAGAAAGGTTCGGAAAGTGTTATGAATAGCATTTATCAACATACATTAAAGATTTCAAATTTTGTGTTTTAATTTGGGCTTTACCAATTCCCACGCTCAATAAGACGAAGCTTCTCTGTCAGAAGAATTGCCTTACACAATGGTTATTTTTAAATTACTTGCTGTTAGAGGGGTAGCTTTATTTTTTATTTCCCAGGAAAATTTGAACTAAAACGAGGACTGCAATTCCCAGCGACTTCAGTCAGATCTCATACAATCTCTACTCTCAGACAATCTACAGCCCCATCACTTTTTATCCCAATGCTATTTGATGTTTTTATCCAGAGATCTGGAGGAAAATACGAAGCCATCGCTAATAAAGTGTGAGGTTTACTCAAAAACTTGAGAGTAGTAAAGGCAGACGGCAAAGGACTGATAGAGTGACAATTTGGTTTATCTGGTACACAGGTCCCAAACAAAGTGTGTGTTTTAATCTATGTGAAGGTAGAGTCATACATATGAGAACAGAGAATGCAGGCAGTCCTGTGCAGGGGTAGAGGACTCTCCCATACTGTGCAACGATCCTTCAGAACAGTCACAATCACAACAGACAGCCGGCTGAAAATGAGCTCCCAAAGAGATTCTGCAGGCCCAAACTTTTAAGCAGAGTCTCAACTACAAATAAAACAACATATTAAACCTGAATTTGGCAGTAGTATAATCTGGCCTACGACAGATGTGTACTTCCAGTATTGACAGTAGCAATATTGATAAAAAAGATAAAATTCTAAGAATCATGAGAACAAGCTTAAGGACTAGATGCCCCACAGCAAGAGACAGCAGGAGCACGATCCACTTAGCCTGCCAACTAAGCAGGCAGGGGTCACCTGAACGCTGCAGAAGTACTTAGAGAGGTAAGAAAAGCATTACAAAGGATCTGCAGTCTTGTGAGGAAATCTGTAACAAGATCAACAGCCTTATTCTTTGCCATAGTAACCCAGGAACGCAAGGAAGTCAATACATTCAAAATAGTATCTCAGCAAAGTTAGTTTGCCACCTCTCCTTGTGGCACTGAAATGCACTTTTAAGAAAATAAACAGTAAATAAATATGAAAAGCTACCAAATAATGCAAGTATGATGGCCATAACCTTTTAATTTTCAAATACGTATAGGTGCATTCTTAAGCCTAATTTCATCCTAAAATAGTACATAGGGTTCCTATTCTAGTTTTAATCTTTTCAGTAATGGCAAAAAATAAAAACTTTGAAGATGTAAACATCAAAGAATAAATGAACATTATCTATTAGACCCAGCTTTCAAAGCAACTACTTCAGCTACTGTAGCATCTGTACCAAATATATTTTCTTCTAAGGGCAAATCCTCTACATTTCAGAAAAATGCATATGAATGTACAATCTGGTTTTGCACTGATCCACTTTTAGATTTGCCTATATTAAAAATAGCTGGACCCATTCCAATTTCATTGGAGTTGCTCAAGGCAGTCAAGCAGAAAGTGTTTGAATATAATATAGACATCCTGAACAAGCCTTGCACAGTATGATACACAGAGTTCATGATAAATATGGGTGAAATCCCTTTCTTAATCATTAACAGATTAAAGGAAGCATATATTTTCCAGTCAGCACAATGACTTCTCTAATTTCATACTACTGAATAGAAATCCATGACCTTAAAAACAGCATGTCTTTTACTTAAAAACTGATGTTACCTGTTTCCTAAAATCTTCATATGGAGGATATTAGTTTACTAACTTGCCCTATTCTAATTTTTGTTCCATATGGCTTTAATGCCTTTAAAATTTTAGTAGGACTAGTTAATCCCATCTGGAATATCTTTTCCAGACACAGAGACACTAAACTAATCTTCATTTATGCATTGAAGAGACAGGTGAAGCATTGACATTGCATTCTTCACTCAGCTTCTCCTGTGATAACTCAGTTCTAAATGGCCTACTCTCAGACACATTTTTACTGGAACAAATCTTTATTTTCTTATTTTTGTTTCAGCTGTGATCAGGAAAGAATAAACTGAGGCTGTACTTTTCTGAACTAGCTTCTATTTCCTGAATCAATTTCCAATCTAATTTGTACACTTAACTCCTACAGCTGTTGTTTATATATTTAATGCCTTTATTCTGTTTTCACAACATCTTTAAACCAAGGATATGAAAAAAGTGAAGATTAGTATTTTTATTGACAGTAGTTTATGACATCAATTCTTTACTCTAACACATTCAAGAAAATAACTGTAGAATGTAGCTAACTTCAATATTGAAGGTGAATTTAATTTTGCTCTGACTAACAGAGTTTACTGTTTCTTCCTCACAAACACTGCACCTTAGAAAATCAACCAATTACTTTGGATGAATATATAAAGTCATTATTCTGACTTAAAAGGTGTAATATAATGCAATATTTATCCCCACTGTAGACCTATCACATTTGGCTACAGCATCTATTCAGATAAGATCTCTACACCTAATACACTAGTTACAGTGATAGGAAAATCAGCAAAGCCCTAACTGGACTCTGACTCTCTCTAATACCAATTGAGAACAAAAGTATCGGTACAGCCTTAACCTTGTATGTTCCTGTTGCCTCTTGTCCTGAGCAGCTCAAGGGTTCAGAGCATAAGCATACATGGGCTGAAGCAAACCAGGTGCACACCAGGAGTAAGAAGTAATGGCATAGGAAAACAGAGCTTCCATCCTAGAGCCACAGTTCTGCAGCCAAAGCAGGAAACAAAATTCTGCAAAATGTATTATAGAAGCAAGAGAGGTTACAAGATTGAAGGATAAGAACAGTCACCATAGGGAAATGTTTCGGGTGTTGACAGGAGGGACAGCTTTTCTGAGCTGAAAATATAGCTAAGAATTATTGCACACTGATTAGGAGTAGAGTAAACGCTAAATGCAGAAACCCAAATTCCTAGCTGGACTATATAACAAAATGAGCTACAGAGAAATTGGTGGATATATAATAAAACCTTATTTTCTCTACTAACCATTCCCTGAGAATATCACACTAAAAGCTATTCCTCACAGGCTAGCTATTTCCAAAGTACAGGATAAGCAGGGAGAATAAGAGTGAGAAGTTTGACGGAAGTTATCATTTTTGAAGTGCTGTTATAGCTGAAGCCCCAAATATGAGCACTGGCATGAATGGCACTATTATGTACGTTATTACAGTACCAGCACTAATTCTACTGAAGAAAATTAGCTTTTCCAAACAGAACACTTTAGTTACAGAATATCATTTTCCCTTTCGTGGAAACCATCCACGTACATGAGGAAGCCTGTGCCTTAGGAACGGCAAAATTTGCAGAAGAATTCATCCAGGAAGTGACTCCTGACACAATTTCAGGCTCAGTAGAACTGAATTTGGACACAGGCTAGAGGAGAAAGGAAAGCAAAAAACGAATGAGAGAGGTGAACATACATATCCTACTTCTTACCGTCTATGTGGATTATGAGCATAATCAAGACTAAAATCATGAAGGCACAAGTCAAATCCCTAGGCCACAGGGAGTTCTAATTTAAGGATGACTCTCCCTAAAGCTCTTGCTCAAAGCATGGAGCCTTCACTCTAAAAAGATTTTTTGCAGTTTATATAGAGTTTAGACAGAAATCCCTGACATAGATTTTGATTAGTCAGGCTGGGTGGTCATTCTGTTTTGCTTTTTTGTTTGTTTGTTTGTTAAATAAAAGCTGGTGTTAGAAGGCCAAAGGTACAGAATTGATTTTAACATCTAATCAAATATTTAACATCTTCATTAGTTTTCTCTGGGAGTCCTCCACTTCTGTGAATTTCAGTATGAAATACAGTTAAGCCCATTGCAGACTGGAGGGGCTTGTATGGGCAAATGCCTCAAAGTAGCTATACTAGCCTTCCACCCCAAGAGAAGAGTAACAGACTTCTAAACTCCACAAGCAGCTATTCACTTGCCCCGAGAGATTACACAGGAAAAAAATTCTAAGAGGAGAAGCATCAACATACAACTGCTCTTAGCAATCACAATCACCCCACTGCAAATCTTATCAACAGCTAGCGAACGTTGTGACAGTTCACCCTAGCCATGAGCGGGAGAGCACTGCTACCACTGACATTGACAGTATCTTCCCATGCTCCAGTCAGTTCACCTCAAGGGCAGATTTATGAAAAGTAAGCAAAATGCAAGTGAATGTTTCATGACAAAGCTGAGGGAAACATAAACATACTAGCTGCCTCATTTGGTATAGGACAGATCTGGTCTCATTGAAGAATACTGAGATAACAAACTTAATAATCTATGCCAAAGGATGATCTGTGACATCCCTAAGACATGGCTACGTGTTAATCAGGGCATTTAGCAATGGGAGGATATTTCTAATGTATGAATGTCACAGTAAACGACCGATGAGAACAAATCTGTCAGGCCTGCGACATTTCTTTCCAAATGTCTACTAATCCAACATTCTTCCCCTCGCGGCATTCCCGTGCCAAGATGTCGATTACTTCAAGGATACATCTGTCTAGAGCAGAAGTATAATTCGGAGTGGGAAAAACAGGATAGGGAAGGAAATTGTAATTCTTAACACTATTCAAATGTGTCGCCCTTCCTGAAGTAGATTCGATAAACCTTCTGTGTGCTATTCTTAATAATTAGCTCTTATTAAATTAATTTGTAAATTACAAAATTTTACTGTAAGCCTACATAAGTTAGATAAAACACAGATGTGAAGATTTTTCTGCAGCACCACCTTGCACTTATCACATCAGCTATACTCTGTACTTTAGTGGGTGGTATTATCTGAAAATACCAAAAGCACTAGCATTTTTCCTTTCAATCAATCCACCTTGATACATGTACTCGCTGTGAAAAGATAAACATGAACCAGAACAAGAAGGTCAAAGAATATCAGCAAGTGATACAAATTACAGTAGCCAGAGAAACAGGCAATAAAAAAGAGACAACTTAAAAAAAGTCTCTATCTAGCTTTACAACAAACAATTATTACACCTAATACAACAGACTGTCTCAAACTGGTTGGACTGATTCTGAGCCTGAAGATTAATACATATTGTAGAGGACAGCACTAATATTTATACCAAAATGTTCTTGGAATCAAATTACAAAGAAAAATTATAAATTAGAAAGATATTAACATTTTGAGATTACAAGCTGAAACATACAAATTGAGACTGTCTGTTTGACAGACATTACAAAAGCATTACAAAACTGTCTTCAGTTGCTTACTATTCTTTTCCCCATGGGACTATTTTCATCCAGTAGCTGCTTAAAAGAAAGCATTTTATCAATTTTCACTAGAAGATATATTCCAAATGCATTTCTTAGGAACAGTTAGTGGATTTTGATACTGGTGCAACTTGAGATTTTTATAACGACAAGAAATATATATCCTTCTAGATAATGTTAATGATAGATGTAAAAAGTTTAAAAGTCTCAAAACAATACTGCCTTTTCTGTGTTCATATTCCACAAGTCAACAATACTGAGCATAACATGTACCAATTCTCCAAATTTTATTATCTATATTTCTGTTTTCCCCCTCTTTTTTTTTTTAATTAAAGCAGGTAATAATTTTCAAGGTAAATGCCTCGTCAGGTAAAGAGTAGATTAATTTAGACTTTGACCTTTTGCTTGTCCTTTGACATATCTGTCTAGTGAATGTGAGAAATAATACTACCTGTAAGGAGCTGTTAATATTTTTCTTATTTCACTAGTTTGATTATTTATTTTCATATCCTCTATTGCATATAACTGGCAAATTAAGACACTAAAAGGTATCACTACGTCATTCTATATTTTCCTTGGCTCTTGCTGCACATGTAACTGTACGTACAGAACTCTAAGTATCACAATGCTAAATATCACATTTAGAATACGGGCCTTACACCATGAATGTTTTGAGTCCAATAAATACTTCTACTAATCTTGTGTAACATGAGAAGGGGGAAAAAAGGGGGGTGTGACATTCCTTTCTAATGGGATTACTTTGCTTTCTGATCTTTGATGTAATCATGAGCATGAAAAAAGTGCTTGGAAAAGAGTCAGAAATCAGTCTTAAGTGTCCAGAACTAATCTCCTCTATTTGAATCTCTTCACTGCTGTATGTAAGTTTGATTATGGTCTGTTGTTCAGATGCCTAGATGCCATCATTTTGGCACATTTTCTGGTTGAAAAGAATATTATTAAATTCTCATTTTAAAAAAATGAAAAAAATAAGTTAGTATTTACATCGGTAAAATGGGGCAAGAGACGTCGATTTTCAAACAAGAGATTAATACTCAGAGTTACAAAACCACAGCCCTAGTATCTGTTCACTAACTTCGAGATGCACTAGCAGAGATTCTTTAGTGTAACAAGATTTACTTATAACTTCTTTACAAAAATCAAACTAAACAAGTGGCATGCACACAGAAATGCATATAAAGAAAACGGAGTAGTAACATTAAAAAAAAATCCACAAAAGAAAGCTATGGAATACAGTCATGTTAACAATTATATTTTAAACAGTAAAGTGCACAAAGTGTCAAGCTGCCAACACAGATAGGAATCATATATTAGCAGGATAAATTCTTGAGATACTATGTAAATTCACCTAATCTGCAGTGTTTACACTACTTATTTCTTGCACTGCTCAAAAAATATACTTTCCCAGGACAGCCGAAATTGTTTTTTTAAGAGGTTTAGCTGCAGTATTTAAAAATAAAAAACAAAAACTCACTAGCAAATTAAAAATATAGTATATTGGGTTGTCAGAGTATGTTTACTGGGAACAGAATTGCTTCCAAGGAGCCAGAACCCAGGATCACCATTTCAGTGAGAAGTGTAGTACAGCTCAGGGTGAATGCAAAACAAAGTTTGTTTATTTTACCTTTTGGCAATACAGACACTAACCACATTTCACAAACACCAAATAAAAGAACGTAAGCACATTTCTGTTTACCGCTACCCTGCTAAGCAAGAAGTGGTAAGGGGTTAGCGTAGGGCTTCAGAAAGAAAATAAGGACATTAGGTAAGAATGAGGAAAGCAAGCAGGCTATCTTAAAGAATTTGGGTCTAAAGTGAGACAGAACTCCCAGACTGCCGACTCATAGATTTGTTTGAGGCACGCTCCTTCTTGTTAGCTTCAAACAGAACTTCAGATCTCAGGAATGAGGGAGGAGATCAAAAACAATAAAGGGAATACATATGCATTATAGAAGTAATTTTGTATTATATAAACATTTAGATATTTACTGTAGACTCAAATATTTAAAAGGCTCAAATATGAACATTACCACCACAGTCCTTCAAGATAATACAAACTATACCATTCCAGATGGTTATCATTATATTTAGTCCAATATAAATGCTAAAGCACATGCAGACTTCCAAAGAGAAGGAAAGGTAAAACAATCAGAGAGAGAGAGCAACTTAATAAAATTAAATTAAATTTAAAAATAATGTTAGAATCAAATGGCCAAGGAAAAGAACAAACTCATAAAGGTTCTCAAGTGAAATATAAAGCCAAGAGTAAAAAGCCAGAAGTTAAAAAAAATCATTTTCTTAAATGCTGAGTTTATGATCACACAGCACCAAATTTAAAGGAAAGGCTGACAGACGCTAAGCAGAACTAAAATCCTAATCAATGTGTAAAAACATTACAAATATAAATCTCACTTTATTAATATAATTTACTCTCCCCTAGGAAGAACTTCATGATAATTAAACAGAACGAGTACCTTACCAAGTTTAAAGAATGAAAAACTGGGAATATAATGAAGTTAAAATACTAAAAAACATACCAGAAGAGGCTTCCAGTCTTTCTAATCTGCTGATCAACCAATCAAGAGATCCAGAAAATTGAGCACAGTTTTTACGATTCCCTCTAATCAGAGCCGCTATTAGTAAAAGAGAGAAAGAGAGAAAAAAAAAATCACAATTACAAGTCCATTTGATTTAAAGGAATCCCTGTCTTTCCAGGAAGGTTCCAGTAAGCTAGATTCTTAATGTTCATTAAAATTAACCTGTAAGGTGTTTGAATTATTTTGGTCTTCTAATCATCTCCCTGAAAAATACTTTATATGAAGTAGCCACTGGTGATCCCACTAATTGTTGATCCTGCTAAGAAACAATGGCTACGGAAATCTCTGCTTATACAGGTGAGTCACTTGTGCATTTTATATTTAGGAAAATTGCTGAATTTTCCTGAACCTCTGTTCCTTACATACTTTTCAATGCAAAATACACCAGTTAATTGGAGTTAACTGCAAACAAGTCACAAGTTGACAAAGTCTTGAAGAAAGAAACCAAAATCTCACTCCTCATAGCAAAAGAGATAATAACATTATTATCGGGGAAAAATAAGGGAATAATTGCATCAGGGAATAACACCAGACTAACTTTTAATTTAAAGGCAATTAGCTGTATCTCTAGGTCCGATAAAATACATAACTAAAAAAGAGCTTTTCTTAGGGCCTACAGCAGTTGGGATACATATTTGACAGGCTAGTGAATATTTCAGTTATACATTTACTCTTTAAAAGATTAGGTTCATCCGACGGAAAAGACTGCTTGTAACCTGTAAATCAAAATGAAGATAGTTTTTCAATATAAATTGTGAGCTTTTTTGTTTTTTTTTCACTAGGAAGGAAGAATAGAAGCCAACTAGCAAGTGGTTTTTGTGCTGTTGTTGTTTTTAGAAAATGATCTTTCACATGTGTGAAAGTGGTATTTGTCACAAAGTCAATCATGTATTTATCTTCACAGAACCCAAAGTAATACAAGAAAATAATATTAATACCATTTTATAACTAGGGAAAGGAAGTAGAGAGAGAGCGAATTTGAGCGTGCTCAAATTCAATGATGATTCCTGTTTTTTTCAACAGCTTGAAGATTTCTTCCTAATTAGGTACCAAGAGCCATAAGAGAATTATTATGGTTTGCTGATTGCCTCTCCTGACTCCATAATCTGCATGCTAACCAGTCTTTCACTTCTGCATCACTATTCTTTTTCTCAGTGATGTTGCGACATGACTCAGCTCAAGGGCAAAATTAGTTCCTAACAAACTGTGTTACAACGTTAGTCTGCAAGTACTAGAAAGCTACCTTCCAAATAGCTTTCTAGAACCTCCTCATGGGTAACAGACGTCAGGAATTCAACAAGATCTGTTCATCTGCGTTTTGCACTCATCCATAAAATATCTGAGTTGAGGGCTTGACATTCTGGCACTTAAAAAGCAGTTCACTGAAATAATCAATATGTAAGGTCAAAAGATATAACATCAAATCTGTACCCTGAAATCTTATATAATTAATAGATCATGATCATAGTTATTTGAAAATATTCCCTCAGGAATCATAACAGGTGTGTATTGTTAAAAGACAACAATCAGAATGCAGGAACACCTGATGCTGGAAGAGATTTTAGGACAAGCCACTATATCTTACTGCAATTCAGGTACCAATATCAAACTAAGGCAATAATAGTTCACTGCTTCACCTGACTGTAGTAAAGTTAACTTTAGTAAAACTGTAACTTTAGTAACTTTAGTTACTTTAGTAACATTAGTAACAAAGTTAACTTTAGTGACACTGTCTCCCATCACATCCTCCTAGGTAAGCTCAGGAAGTGTGGGCTAGATGAGTGGACGGTGAGGTGGACTGAGAACTGGCTGGATGGCAGAGCTCAGAGGGTTATGGTCAGTGGTGCAGAGTCTAGCTGGTGGCCTGTAGCTAGTGGTGTCCCCCAGGGGTCAGTCCTGGGTCCAGTCTTGTTCAATGTATTCATCAATGACCTGGAGGAAGGCACAGAGTGCACCCTCAGCAAGTTTGCTGATGATACAGAACTGGGGGGAGAGGCTAACACACCAGAAGACTGTGCTGCCCTTCAGAGGGACCTGGACAGGCTGGAGAGCTGGGTGGAGAGGAACCTCATGAAGTTCAACAAAGGCAAGTGCAGGGTCCTGCACCT